TATATCTTAATTAGCGCTAAAACTCAGATATATAAACAAAACACATACACAAAGTGGAGTTGAAAAGTCTTTATTTCAATTTAGTTTATGTCCTCTTATTTAGCGCTAAAACTCGGATGTAAAAACAAAACAGACACACATATACACAAAATGGAGCTGAAAATTCTCTATTTCAGTTTTGTCTGACTATTACAGAACCGCGTTTTCTCCTTTCAATCTCGAGGAAATGAAAAACTATTGAAGTCTCAGCGTTTCACGCGCCGTTAGTCAGGTAATTATGCGAGTTCACAAGCCCACCGTTGCATGCAAATTAGCTCTGCAGTAAAAACCCCGAGGGAGCTTCTTGACGTATTATTATAAAAACACAACAAAAAAGACAATTAATAACTTAACAAGGGTCAATTGAAACATGCGACTAATAATTGCTAGCAATAAATCCAGACACGAAATCAACTTTATGACCCTTTATTAAAATAATTGCAAACAGATTAGATTAAAGATTCTATTAAAATAGTCAAAGAATGCAAGCCATCCATTTTTTTTACACCGCGCACAATGTTTTACTTACCCCTCTCCCTTTTCAATTTTATTTCCCTCCTCAATTTTTTCTTATTCCCTCCCCCACAATTTTTATTATTTTCCCTCCTCAACGTTTTGTATTCCCCTCCTCCACCTCCACCTCCTCATTTATTCTATATATTTTTCCATCCACAAATACATCGACCTCCTATCGACCCTACATCGACCCCACATCGACCCCACTTTGACCCCTCATCAAGCCTACATCGACCCCACATGGACCCCACATCAACCCCACATCGGAGGAGGGGAATGAAAAACATTGAGGACGGAAAATAATAAAAATTGTGGAGGAGGGAATAAAAACATTGAGGAGGGAAAATAATAAAATTGTGGAGGAGGGAATAAGAAAAATTGAGGAGGGAAATAAAATTGAAAAGGGAGAGGGGTAAGTAAAACATTGTGCGCGGTGTAAAAAAAATGGATGGCTTGCATTCTAGAATCTTTAATCTAATCTTTTTGCAATTATTTTAATAAAGGGTCATAAGGTTGATTTCTTGTGTCTTAAAAAAAGTGTCTGGATTTATAGCTAGCAATTATTAGTCGCGTGTTTCAATTGATCCTTGTTAAGTTATTAATTGGTTTTTTTTAGTGTTTTTATAATAATACGTCAAGATGCTCCCTTGGGGTTTTTACTGCAGAGCTACTTTGTATGCAACGGTGGGCTTGTGAACTCGCATGATTACCTGACTAACGGCGCGTGAAACGCTGAGACTTCAATAGTTTTTCATTTCCTCGAGATTGAAAGGAGAAAACGCGGTTCTGTAATAGTGAGACAAAATTGAAATAGAGAGTTTTCAGCTCCACTTTGTGTATGTGTTTTGTTTATATATCTGAGTTTTAGCGCTAAATAAGATATAGGAAGCCGTTTCTCGCGTTGCTAGGTGATCGCTTCTCTTATTCCTTTTAATAAACGGTCTGAAAACCGGGCTCAAGTTACTTCATGGGCAAGTCGAAGCAAGCCTATTGTTTCTATTGAAGCAGAGAGACGCTCATTAGTAAACCTGTACCGAATTAGTATGCAGGAAGACCCTCATTAGTGGGGAGGAACGCATTTTTTTCCTAGGTTATAACAATGGGTGACGTCATAGACCGTTATGCATATTAACAAAGGGAATGCATCTTTTGGGAGGGAATCCAAATTAGTATGCGGGAAGTCCAAGGGAAGTCCAAAAAGGGGCTTATCTTTGACCCTAGAAGACTACTTAGGTGCTTGAGGGGAATGCTTTCATTGGGCAATGGGCCTCAAACATTAAAAGAATTTGACAGGACAAACTTACAGCAGACATGAGGAGTGTACTAACTCTGCCACAGCAAGACTAACGCACAGTACCACGCTTTTGCAGCACCCTCCCCTAGGGATTGACATGGAGGCCCCTTCCCAACCCATGGCGAGTTAGCTCAGGAACTGAGCTTGACAATGTGACCAACCAGGATAGCAAGCCTCCTATCTTTATTCTCATCGCAGTGACCAGAAACCTGCAGGCTATCGCCAGATTCCTGTGCGGATATTCTAGCCCGTTTTGAAGTATGTTTTCAAAAATTCGGCTAGATATATAAATCTATATAATCTATTCAAACAGGGAATTCCGGAAACACACTTTAGGCGAGTTTTCGTGATATTTGTATCTATAGACCTAGGCTGAGTGGAGATTTATCCTTAAAATGCCACGAAATTTATTTTTTACCTCTAGCACCCGCGTTGAGACTAAGCGGTTCTCCAGTTCGCTACGCTGGGAGAGTTGAAGTTCGTATCAAAGGTGTCTGGGGAACGATTTTACAAAACGGTTGGTATTACCGCACTCTCGGTCCAGAAGCAACTCGCGTAATATGTAGACAGCTTGGATTTTCGGACGCTGTGATATCTGTTGGTCATTCCGTGTATGGACCCGGAGTGGACCCCTTGTGGTTGGACAGTTCCCGTCTGCATGGATGTTTGGGACACGAGAAGAACATATTGAATTGCTCAAACAGCTCACCTAGTTTTACACTGACTTATGGTCATGACAGTGATGCCAGTGTTGTATGCAAGCCCAAAACGTCATATACCAATGGTAAGTAGGAAAAGCTTATGCATCAGTCAATTCTAAATGCGACCCCCACCCAACCAACAGAGCTCACTAATCTTTCTTAAGACTTCTATACCAGATGATACTTTTTTTAGACATTAGTGATGAACTCGTCAAAAACATTTGCTGCTGGTTACTTTATCATAGCGAAATTCTGTTTATAGAGATATCGAGCCCTTTCTCTTGTTTTAGAGTCACTATTCTTTGCCTTAAACCAAATAACATTAATATTCCGTTTTCAAAGTGACCCTGTCTGCTATCATCTAGTTTTGTTATCAGCCACATTCATATCGTGCTGTAGTTTAGGGAAGCTGCAAGCGGTGAAAGTCAAATTATTAGCATTATCTGCATACATTCATGTGGTAGCATAATCCATTTTAGTACTCATTCAAAATATTTCCCCGGTTCTGATTGGCTAAAAGAACACGCATAATTCACCATAACCAGCTGCTGAACTATCCTATTGAACCGTTGACCGAGGAAACCTGGGGACGAGGTTGAGTTGTTTTGGTTGTTTGAACAAAATGGCGAACTGTCGGGCGGACATTGTACTCGTTTCACGGCGAAATATTGTCTAAAAACATAACAAGAACAGCGAGAAGTCAACTCGACGGACAACATCTGCTATTCAGAGTATATTTGCAGACCTTTATCTGCTAAATTTCCCGAAAAAGATGCAGTATCGATGTGAACTTAACGTCGACCGAGGTAGGCATTTTTAGCTTGTTTTTAAAGTTGGAATTATTTTGAATGAATAATAAAGCAATTATTGAATTCGGCGTATCGCAGGATATGAAGAATTCTGCAGATCTCGGAGGGTATTATCCACCTCTGCCTTCGGCCTCGGTGGATAACACCCTCATTCAATACTCAGCCTCATTCAATAATTGCTAAATTTTACAAAGATCATTTATATATATATATATATATAACATTTATAACATTTTAGAATGGATTTCTCGGAGATTACGCTAATCAGTCCCCTGTTTATATTAAAATACGTTGATTGGTAAGATCAAGAAGGGCGGTTACTGTTCACTGAAGGGATTTGAAGCCATATTGACGTGGATCTAACGTTATTTATAATTAAATAGTGGTAGACTTGCTCATAGACTAGCTTTTTAAAGAAATTGGATACGGTTTATAAGACTGATATTGGTCTATGATTATTTGGATTTTTACGTTCACCTACTTTGAACATAGGGAAAACGTTTGCAATAATACTTCCAGTCATCAGGAAATTCTAAACTTTTAAGTGTAAATAACCGAAGCAGCAAACTTGAGGAGTTTTTTGCATATTTGATCCAAACCAGTTCCTTTAGCGACATCTAATTTTGACAGTAACTCTAAAACTCTTGAAGGTTTCATTTCACTAAACTTAAAAGAGGACGGTTCTCATTTTAGGTAATCTTCAGCATTTATAGATGCTGTAGGAAGATTTTGTGTGGACCAATGATTAGGATTTAATTACTCGGTTATTTAGTCCTCGGATAGCCATGAAGTTATCCGCCGTTTTCTAAAGTTTACTCATGCCAAAACAGCTAGGTCGTCGCGCCACTGCCCGGAAACGAGGTTTGATTGTACATTGGGGCAGTATACCATCGAATCGAATCGATTATAACTTGGCTACATATTTCAAATAATTATGGTAAGCGCCCGATGAAGAATTAGTGAGCGGATTTAGACCAATCAGAAAAGGAGAAATACTTTGAATTAATAATGATAAAGCAGCCTGCGTGCTTATGAGGGCAGGCGATATAAGCATAAACATAAAAGAATGCCAAATACACCCTTAAAGTACCAAAATTTCCGCGCGATTTGATTTTAGACACACTGTTGATGTCGCAGAAAATGTCCTTCCTATATTTTGCCCAGATGGGACACAGTGAGGAAAAGCAAGTGATAAAGGAATCGAAATACCAATATCGCGCAGAATATCTGGACCACATTGATTTTCTATAAACAGCGCGATGCAGCAAGTTAGAATACCTTTGTGCTTTGAAATATCCTTGTTAAGAGAATAACGCCCAAATACGCACCCGCTAGGTTGAACAAACCCTCCTGTTTTTATCCGCGTTTACATTTCATTTGTTTCGTTGCAGACTTTCAGGTTCGCTTAAATGGATCCAACCTCTCCTCTGCGGGCACAATAAATGTGTTGTATTATGGAATCTGGGGTGGTATTCTTAGCCATAATGTTGACATTCGTGTAGGTCACGTGGTTTGCCGCCAACTAGGATATTCTAGAGCTGAACGGATTTTTAGGTACCCATCGTTTGGGCGAGTGATAGGCCCATTGTGGATATGGAGCATACAGTGTAATGGCAACGAAGCAGAAATATCTCAGTGCAAATTGGAAACTTGGGACAAAATCTGGAAGACGTCATGGTATAACTGGCGTTATCGTGATAGATATTATATACAACATCCACGAAATGCCGCTAGTTTGCTGTGTAGTAAAGAAAATTCGAGCCTTTCAAAAGGTGAAGTACGGTGATAAATATTTGAGAAAACAGCCTTCTTTTCCACTGCCGATTTAAAAGGGGATGGAAAAATAATTTCATCCCCCGCCCAAAAAAAGGACATTTTCTCGTCTTCCTGGTCATTTTCCAAAAAATATGTTAAGTTTAAGATGAGACCTAAAATCAAGTGGACGAATAGCACAAAACATCACAAAAGATTGGCTTCTTCAAACTAAACAGCAAGCAATGATTTTCAGGCTGAAGGAAGATAGTGGGAGGAGGTAGGGAGATATTGAGTGCCCAGAAATGTCGTTGACCGCGAAGCATAATTCGTAAGTGATAAAGAAATACCTTTGAAAAAGAAATAACAAATCAGGATGGATACAGATTTTTCAACAAAAAAGGATGACCAAAATTGATTCTTAATACCTATCTTCAGAAAGAAAAAACAATTTTGCTGATGAAACTTCTGCGATGGAAGCAAAAGCTCCGAATTTGAAAATGTTCTCTTCAATGAAATAACTCACATTTTTCTTGGTTTTAAAAGTTTTAAATGTGAGGCTTGTTGGTGCACCGATCTCCAATGCTGGGCGAGTAGAAGTATTATATGTTGGTGTGTGGGGAACGATTCGTGGCGGGAATTGGGATATCAATGGTGCTCACGTGGTGTGTCGCCAGCTGGGATACCCTGGAGCTATATTATTTGGAAGCAGCAAACAGTTTGGGATCGGAAATGGACCGTCGTGGTTTGAAAACGTGAGATGTCTGGGGAATGAATCCAGTTTTGAAGAATGTTCAAAAGATATCCTGGGTTATCCGAATGGCGGCTACTGGTCAGTGGCAACGGTGCTGTGTGAATCCAAACCCCAACTAGGTGAGCTTAGTATACAAGTGAAAAATATTTTCTATGTTTGATGACACTAATTGAAAGTTATCCTCAGATGAGCATTTTCAAAAAGCCGTGGCAGCTAGGAAGGGTAGACTTATTGGCCGACAGTCAGAAAATTTGGTAAAAAAGTCTACAAAATCCCTTTCCCTTACCTCATTCTCTAACCTGGATTATTCTATAGTCCTTCAGAGCTGCCAATTACCGGTGAAAAAGGGTCCAATAACGGTTTACATGTGATAAAGCTGCCAACCAATTCCGTGAGACTATATAAAAGAGCAATTTTGACGGCTCGCGAGCACAGATTCTCGGTTACGGCTGAAGTCCGGAAGTCCGAATGTTTTAACCATTTTTCGCGAAGAATCTCATGCTATTCCTGTTATTACGATCAAATTGGCGACTTTTTAGTTTTCTAGATCATTTTGCTAGTGTAGAATTGCTAGCCGTGATTTACCTTAGTTTGCAGGGTGTTCAGCCTGTTTGAAAACGTGCCTGTGAGACGTCAATGAAGGGCTGACACACGACATTTTTTCAAGTGTCAAAACAGCGTCGACTTCACTCTATTCGCCATGTGCGCATTATCCCATAATGCACCTTGCTTGCCCCCCGTCCCTCTTCCCCCTCCAAAAAAAACAAAGTGCAAAAATATTAGCTAGCATTGTCTTCAATTTTCCTGGGACGACTGTAATCTAAGAACAATGAAAAACTTTAGGTTATGCAATATTTTGGGGGGCAAACAAGGTGTATTATGAGAGAAGTGCAACTTCTCAGCAGCAAAGCCATTCTTGGTTTCCTTAGCCTATGTGGCAGGCGTTCGAAAGAGAAGGGGAAGGGAATTGGGGCGCGAGACCGCGCACGAGGGAAGAGGGAGGAGGGGAACGCCTGCAAGGAAGCCATTGTTTTCGCCATCCCGCCCACTAATCAAAAAATAACAAAAATAACGCAACTGTGAATGACTAGCTGTCAAATAAGTCTGGCTGCGATGCACGTATTCTAGTCGTATTTCTCTCACTGTTTTTCTTTTGTTTTGCTAAACCAAGAAATCTAAAGTAAAGGTACTATAAAAAAAGTTCAAATACGGTCATCCATCGAATCAATCTTCCTTGAAAGTTGCAACCAGTTACATAAATCCAGCATACATCAATTCAAGTTGTTGCTGAAGGAATCGGGCTGGAAAACTATTTAATAAGAAATGTAGCGGCTCTTCGCAACTTTCAAGCAATGTTTGTCTAAGAAAAATTAAAACACTTTGCCGTCACGCAATCTTTGAATTTCTATCAGGACGAATTGGATCCAGCGTGTAAAGTTGTTCGTAGGAAGAACAGACGAAGAACTTGAACTAAACTTGTTTAATCAAAACAACTTACAAGCTGCGAAAGACAAAACCTGAACGCATGGCCTTGAAGATCCGTTGCCATGGTAAAACAATGACGTAAGCACGCGTGGACCGGAAGTGAAATAAAAGTAAACTAAAATACAGCAATATCGTCATATCTCCCCTTCTTTAAAAAAAGAAAATGCTTAAGAAAAAAAATAGACTTAATGTAGCTGTCCTACAGCTCAACAAAGGATTTTTTTTTCTTTTTAAAGTTTGACATGTCCTTTCTGATTGATAGCCAAACATTGGTAACGTGATGGTGGTCGGACAACTCGTCCACATCGTGTTGTCATCGACGGTGGCGGTTGTGCCTGCTTGCTGTGCGCGGTCCCGACTGGGTGGTCTGTTTGTGACTTGTTTGTCTGCACTGGGGTTGTGTTGCGCGGATCTGTGCTGACATTGGTACTTGGTGTGGCAGATGGCACCAAATCGTTACTAGCATTTGCTGTTGTAGGACGGGGTACTAGTCTTGGAAGTAGTTTTGTCCCAGGGTCACTGTTGGGCATGACTTCAGGTGTGTCTCTCAGATGTCTCCTGTTTCTCCTGTAGACTCGTCCATCTTCAGTTGGAACTTGGTAGGACCTTATGTATACCTTGCCTTCGACTCTAGCTTGCGTCCAATCCTTCTTCGATCTTGCCAATCTGGGATGTTGATGGTTGTAACCGCACTATATCTCCTGGGCGAAGTTCTTCTACCTCCTTAGCTCCCTTCTTGTAGTACAGGCTTTCCTTTGCTTTCTGAAGCTTCAACTTCTGACTAACTTCCTCTGGGAGTTTAGGCTTAAGCAACTGGTTAGAGGTCGGAAGCCGGGTCTTGGTTCTTCTTCCAAATAATCGCTGAACAGGTGAAGAGTTCAGGGTTTCTGTGGGGGTGTTCCTCCAAGCCAGGAGCACAGGGTATGGGTCCTGTTCTGACTTTACTGCTTTCGCAAAAAGGTTTTTAACTGTCTTCACTGCATTCTAAGCTTTCCCGTTTGACTGGGGATATGCTGGAGAACTTGTTACATGTTCGAAACCATAACTGTTTGCGAACTCTTGGAACTTGGCAGAAGAGAAGGGTTGCCCATTGTCTGAAACCAGCTGGTCTGGAATCCCAATTTCTTGGCAACTTCTTCTGCTGTCTTTCTTGTCAATCTGTCAACTTCGAAAAAACTTGAATAGTAGTCGACAGTCACCATAAACGCTGTGCCATTCAGATCAAAGAGGTCCACTGCAATCTTCTCCCACGGTCAAGTAGGCAATTCATGGCATATCAGTGGCTCTTTCCCTTGCTCTGCTGGCTGGCTGTTGCAAACATCGCACTTTGTTACATGAGCTGTGACATCCTTGTCCATTCGTGGCTAATATACTACCTCTCGGGCCCTCCGTAAGTACCCTTGAATGCCGATATGACTATGCGTGAATCTTAACTAGCATATTGTCTCTCATACTTGCAGGAATAACCAGTCTTTCCCCTTTGAAGACAAGTCCATTTTGGATTGAAAGCTCTTCACGGAAGGAAAAGTTATCTCTGACGTTTTCTGATATTCTTCTTTGCTAGCTGGCCATCCTTGTCTGATTATGGTCTTCAGCTGGCGAAGGGTAGCGTCTGCTTCTGTTGCTTCACGAATGGCAGTTTGCGTTGCTTCTGATACAGGCAGATACTGTATCATATTGATACTCTCTAGCTCTCTTTCGGTGTTTCCTCTCATGTTCTCAATGTTCAACACATCTTCTGCTCCAACCTGTGTTGTGTTTCTGCGTACTCGATACGCTCTACTTAAGGTATCGGCCAAGTACATTTCGGTGCCCTTCTTGTAGGACACTTGGAGGTCAAACTTCTGTAATCTCAGCACTGTGTAGGCTCTTGCGGAAAATGCTCTCTAAATGTTTGTGGTCGGTTTGGATCTTGACTGGTCGTCCATACACGCACTGCTCAAAACGTTCCACTGCGAACAGGATTGCTAGTATTTCTTTCTCTATTTGTGCATAATTGACTTCTGTTGCAGTCATGGAACGGGATGCGTAAGCAACTGGCTGGCCTTTTTGCATATGAGACATTTACCCAGTCCTCGGTCAGAAGCATCACACTGGATTTCTACTTCTTCTTTTGGGTCGAAGAACTTGAGGACGGGAGCGGCCGAGATTATCTCCTTGACCTGCTTAAAACTGCGTCCTTGTACTTGCTCATCCCACTGGAACTGGTTTCCATCTTTCAACAGATCTCTCATTGGGACAGTAATTTCAGACAGATTACTTGCAAACGTTTGCAAGTAGTTTACCATGCCGAGAAGCCGCTTTACATCTTGCTTGCTGGATGGTGTTGGCATCTCTGCGATACCTTGTACCTTGTTTGGATCAGGCTTGAGACCATCTTGACATATAACATGTCCCATAAAATTAACTTCTTTGCACCGAAGCTTAAGCTTATCTTTTTTCAACTTGATACCTTTGGTACGGCAGCGTTCAAACAAGGCTTTCAGTTTCGAATCATGATCAGACAGTGCTTCAGCTTGGGTCTCTCCAACACCAAAAACTAGTATATCATCAAATATTGGTTTCACTCCATCCAGACCTTCTAAGGCACATTCTAAGTTCCTCTGAAACTCTTCTGGGACGGGTGAGATTCCGAATGGTAAACGAGTCCATCTGAACCTTTCCCAAGGGGTACCAAATGTGGTAAGTAGGCTGCTCTCGGAATCAAGCTGTACGTGCCAAAACCCGTTTTTCGCATCTACTACACTAAAGACCTTAGCATTTGCCAGAAGTGGTAGCAGATCATCTATCACTGGAAGGGGGTAGTGGTTTCTCTTTAGTGCTTGATTCAGTGCTTTAGGGTCGATGCAGAGCCTTATCTTCCCATTGCTTTTCTTGACGACTGCCATGGAAGAAATCCAATCTGTTGGAACATCTACTGGTATCAGGATACCTGTCTTTACTAAGCGATCTAGTTCCTGTTTCAAAGGCTCTTTCATCGCAAAAGGGACTTTTCTGACTGGGAGTACCACTGGTGGTACTGTTCGGTCGAGCTCAAGGTGAAGTTTTCCTTCTAGCTTTTCTTCTCCTAAGAAGATATCTTCAAATTCGCTTACAAAGTCCTGCTTTGTGGGAGGTTCATCCGATAGAGACATAATTTTGTCAGCATTTACAGTGATAAGACCAAACTGCTGGACTGTTTCAGCACCTAGGAGCGCAGTGTGACCGCTTGGTACAACGGTGTATTCAGTGAACAAGCACTGTTCATTCTTTGGGTTCAGTGTCTCAACTTTGACACGTCCTACGGGTTTTAGCTCAGATTTGTTGAACATGACTAGATTAGTGTGCGAGGGCTGAAGGCGTGTCATCTGAGGGTCACGATAAATTTGTTGATAAATATCTAGTGGGAGAATGTTGACTGTCGCATAACGAGCGTAAAGCTGTAAGAAATGAATCAAACTACTCCCCGGTTTCCTGCACTCTCTGATTGAACAAATAAGCTTCGTAGATTTCATTCGTCTCACCGATGAAATAGGCGTCTAGAAGCTCTACGACTTTATCGATTTCGGTCTTCTCTTCAGTATTTGCAAAAGGCAGACCATCGTAGATTTCCAGAACATCTGGGGCAATGCAGGTTGACAAAGTTGCTGTGCGAAGATCTCCGCTTTGTGTGTTAAGCCTTGAGGCGAGTTCTTA